TTTGAGAAAGCTGAGAATCTATTTTGCAGTTGAGATTAAGAATGGACTCTGTGTATATCAGATGTTTCATACTTTGTTTTTAAAAACAGAATATAGTTAATGCGTTTGCAGGAGTAGATAGCATGGGAGGATTCAAACTTGATAATATGCGTTAGTGTTTTTGTAAAATCTACTTTGGTTTTCAGTCGTTTACTGTATTTCACTGCCTTTTCACTCCTGTAAATTAACTATTCAACTGCTAGGCAGTCTTTATAACTTCACGTTTTACATAATTATCATCTGTTCTGCTTTATAGTAAGATTGCACTCCACCCAAATAAGAAGCAATCAAAGGAATTAAAGCAAATAGCAGTCAAATTCACATAAGTGAATGCTAGAGGCTCAAGGATTTGTAAGTACTGATTTGGCAACATCGAAGTTGCTGCTGGCACAAAACTTCTATTTATTGGTATTATTTGAAGGATATAATGTAAATCTTTATTAATGAAAAACTCGGGAAGGAGGTGATTAAATAGAACTAAACATTTCCTCAACATACAGAACGCTTACTTGCTGATCGGTATCGGGAAATACTGAAACTGACTATCGTAAAACATTTGGTCTCAGAGAACCAGGTCTTGTAGGTGCATTTTATTAAAGATTTGTTTGTTTGAAAGGCAGAGTTGACACGGAGATCTTCCATCTGCTATTTCACTCCCCAAATGGCCACAATGGAAAGGGTTAGGCCAGGCCAAATGCAGAAGCCTAGAACTGCATTCGGGTCTCCCAAAGTGGTGCATGCACCCAGGCACTTAGGCCCTCATCAGCTGCTTTCACAGGCAGATTAGCAGGGAGCTGGAATGAAGTGGAGCATTGGGACTCGAACCTGTGCTCCCATGGGGTGCTGGCATTGTGGGCTGTGGCTTAACCCACCAAGCCATAGTGCCAGCTCCTATCAGGTCCATTTCTAAAGCAATGGAGATCTTTTGGTAAAATCACTTCGGTCAGAACTGCTTGGTAAAGTAATCCCAACAGAGTTCTTTCCTGTGCTGCTTCACTGCTCAACTGCCTGCAACTGCTTGGGCTGGGCCAGGACAAAACTAGGAGACGGGAATTCAATCCAAGCCTCCCACATTGGTGGAAAGGAACCCGATGACTGAGTCAACATTGACTGCCTCTGTATGTGCATTAGCAGGAAATTGAATCAAAAGTGGTGCTTGGTAATGTATGGAATTTGGATTTCAATCCAGAGTTTGGTTCCCAACTGCATCACTTACTCTCATATGTCATTAAAAATGTTGTAATTTGTGTATGCCTTCATTCTGCTTCTCTTTTCTCCATTGCAGCCTTACATTCTAGTCATCTACCGGACCCTCATCCACCCAGTTTTCCACCATTGCACCACCATCCCTCCTACTCTTTGTTAGCTTCAACCTGCTTGAGGGCCTACATACTTGCCTCCCACTCCGTCCTCTCTATATATCCTCCCATTCCTTCTGGCCCACCACATCGGACTCACTTTCCTCCCCACCTCCATACCAGCCTCCTCATCCCGGTTGGTCCTGCACACCAGCCTCACCCTCTTGTGAAGGCCAGCCTCACTCTACCTTTGGTCCACAAAAACAACCACACCTTATCCTCATCTTCCACCTCCGTTGCATTTCCCTTGTTTCCCTGCTACAACTGCACCCTTCTTCTAGACTTCCGCATCCGTTTCATCCTTCCAGTTTTCTACCATATCCTCAACCTGTCTGTGGTACTCTACACCAGCCTCAACCTCTTGTGGGGCCTACATCCTGGCCTCCCACCCTTTGTAATTCACACTGGGTTCAGCTTCCTTCTGGCTACCATACTACAATCACTTTCCTTCTGACCCTCCAGCCAACCCTCACTCTCCTGGCCCTGCACACCAGCCTCACCCTCCCCTGGTCCTCAGTACCAGCCTCACCTTCCCCCTGGTCCTCCATGGCACTCCAGTCTTACTCTCCTTCTGTTGGTCCACTATAGCCTCACTCTTCTAGCGCTTCACAAGGGTTTCATCCACCAAATCTGCCATAACTTCACCTTTCCTGTGGTAATCTACACTAGCTTCATCTTCCTTGTGGGCCTCCATCCTTGCTTTGCACTGTTTGTATGCACTGTGACTTCCAACTTCCTTCTCATCCTCTGTGCCACCCTCTCCCTCCTCCTCATCAATGCCACCCTCACCCTCCTCATTCTCTATGCCAGCCTTGCATTCTTTCTATTCCTTGACACTGTCCTCACCTTCCTTTTGTGGCTCATCCCTGGAATAACCCTTGTGGTGATCTCCCAACCAGTTCTACCCTCCCTATAGTCATCCACCTAAGCCTAGCCTTCACTGTGGTTCTCAACACAAGCCTTTCCTTTGGACCTCCATGATAGCCTCACGTCTCTCCTAGTCCTCCACACCAGTCTTATTGTCCTCTTTCTCCACTGCAGCCTTACCCTCCTTTGAGTCCTCCACTTGTGCTTCACCTGCCAACTCTTCTATCATGGCCTCACCTTCCCTTCTGTGCACTACACCAGATTCAACGACCTTGTAGGCTTCCGTCCTGGCCTCCCTCTCCTTGGCCTCCATATTGCCCTCACTTTACATTTGTTCCACCTCATTAGACATACTTTCCTTCAGACTCTGCAGCCCAACCTCAGCCTCTCAGCAGATGGAAGAACCAGCGATGGAATGTCCCTCTCCCTCTCCCTCTCCCTCTCCCTCTCCCTCTCCCTCTCCCTCTCCCTCTCCCTCTCCCTCTCCCTCTCCCTCTCCCTCTCCCTCTCCCCCTCCCCCTCCCTCTCCCTCTCCCTCTCCCCCCCACCCCTCTTTCCAAATAAATCATTTTAAAAAAGAGGGAGAGAGAGATCGGATCCAGGAGCTGCAGGCAAGGATTAAATTCAGGCATTCAGGATGCTTGTTTCCCAACCACTGGACTATATGCCTGCTCCATTTTGTAACATTTTCGATGTTGTTTGTTTAGTAGCTGCCCTTGAGTTTGCAACATGCATTTACAGCTAATCTCAGTCTATTTTCAAATATTCTGCTTCCTGGATACTGTGAGTGCCTCATAATAACAAAAAATTCCCCATCTCCTCCCATTCCTTCAACCCTCATGCATATTTTCCTTTCAGTGATAGAAAAATATATACACATGTAATATGTAAATATGAATATTATGTATGCCATTTTTGTGTATGTATTGTATATATATAGCTTAAAAATCATATATAATCTAATGAGTTGCTATCATTATTTTCAGCAATCCCATTAGTAAATTAAAAATAAGAAAAATTATATTTTACTGCTATTTTTCTTTTTTTCTCTCATGTTCTTCCTTTTTATGTAGATCCAAATTTCTGACCTATATGATTTTCTTCCTCTCCAGAAAACTGTTGGCATTTCTTGCAAGATTGTATTCTGGCAACAAAACGTACAATTTTTACCTGCCAAACACTTATTTCTTCTTCACTTTAGAAAAACAAGTTTCAGGATACCAGATTTCAGTTTCGTAGTTTTTTCTCTCCATGCTTAAAATAGTTTTCTCCAGTCAGTTTTCCCTTGTTTGGTTTCTGAGGAGAAGTCAGATGTGTTTGCTCCCCCATGGATTGTTTATTCTGCACAAGCTGCATTCAGGACTTGTTCACGGGATACTGCTGTATATAATGAATATCAACAAGCCTTTGGAGAAGTTTTTTTTTTTTTTTTAAGGAAGTATGGGAGGAGATATGGATCATTTTTTAAAAACTGAGGACAAACAGACCTGTTTAAACTACATACTTCTAAGTAATGAAACTAAGAATGGATGTTGGTGAGCCACATCATGCACCAGATTTAAAAGAGCACTCTTAATTAAAAACACAATTTTCAAGAGCATCGGTTAACAGAGAGCATTGAATTTGCCTCCACACTTTTTCATTGTACTGCAAAGTAAGCATTTTGGGCAAGGACCACATGTCAGATTTATCTTTGAATCTCTCTTGCCTGCTAAAGGTAGTGACATGATAGGCCTGAATATGTGCTTAAATGAATCAATTAAGGAATGCAGTCATGCATTAAATTCAAATAAAACCTCATGGTGTTTGATGTCAGAATTGTGTAACTAAATAACGTTAGGTTCTAAAATATCAACATGGTATTTCACTTGGAGAAAACGTAGATCAATGGCTCTGATTTTAAAACTGCGTCCTTCTTTCTCAAAAAGTGAAGTAAACCTTGGGTGACAGTCATGAAGCCTCTTCCTACTGCAGCTAAGTAACATAGACCCACTATGCCTCATTTGTAGCACTGATTTTAGGTTGTCTTGACAAACTACCAAGAATTTTGCCATACCATTCTTGCTCGTTCTGGTTTGTCTGGTCTACATTGATACCTGTCACAGATTTCCAATCACTACTGGCAAACATTTAGTTCACTTACTTTATACAGAACAGTTCCAGACTCTGCTGCTGGGATAGAAAATGTATCTCATTTGGAGTTTTACCCTGTGGATACAATTTGAAATAGAATGAAAACCATTGGCATAGATTCCCTTTTAAAGGTTTACCTGTTGTAGAAGCATTTGAAAGAAAGCATATTAAGGGCAAAGATAAATATTTACTTAAATTATTAAAACATCTTGAGATTTTTTTCTATGGCCCTGATGTCATAAAATTATGTTTAAGCTATTGTGATAACTTTGAAACCATAGATACAGAGGTTAGTATGCATTGAGAGGTACATAATGTATATACTGTTAGCTTTCTTGAATTAAAGGTAGCCATTGTATATTTTAAATTACTTTAATGTTGAAATTTGTATGTAGTTTAGAAAATGGAATGTATGGTCTGTTGAGGGTTGGCCTTAATCCTCAAGTAGGTTGGCTTATACTCAATTTCAGGGAGACGACACACATATGCCTAGTAGGAGAACTCAAACAGTAGGCTTTGTAAGGCAAAAAAGCCTATGAATATCATGGAGAATAAGAATTTCAGGCTTTGTTTTTAATATTTATTAATTAATTTATTTGAAAGGCAGAGTTACAGAGAGGCTGAAGCAGAGAAAGAGAGAAGTCTTCCATCTGCTGGTTCACTCTCCAAATGGCCACAACAGCTGGAACTGCATCTATCTGGAGCCAGGAGCTTCCCTCAGGTCTCTCAGGTTGGTGTAGGGACCCAAGGACTTGGACCATCCTCTTCTGCTTTCCCAGGCCATAGCAGAGAGCTGGATCGAAGTGAAGCAACCAAGACTCAAACCAGCACCTATATGGGATGCTGGCACTGCAGGTGGTGGCCCTACCAACTATGCCACATCGCTGGCCCCAGAATTTCCAATTTAACATTTTTTCCTACTTGCATTTCCATTGAAGAAGGGGTTGTTGATGAGATGTTAGGAATCTATTATTAAATGAAGGCATGAGGAATCTATTACAGCCCTCCTGCATTACTCCTTCTTTCCAGCTTATGCAGACTGAATTTACAAATGGTTTTGGTGCTTCTATCACACAGTAAATGATTTTTCCAATGTAAGCCATATTTATTCCTATTTTGCTCAATGTTAGCATTAAGGCTTAATGATAATGCTAACTAAAATTTTTGAAAAATTTAGTTAAAATTACATTTGCATATGAAAATGGAGACAAACTTACCTAATTTATTCTATTTCTAAATATACGTAAAATTTTCTTTTGAGGAAACAGGATGGCAGTCAGGTTAGAGAGGGCTAGTTCTTGAAAAGGAAGTTGTCATATGTAATCATTTAGGAGCGGCCATCTGGTGGTATTGATGCTCTTCACTCTTCACAATTATTTATATGTTCTGGGTGGCATTTCATTGCTTGGTGTCTTTTGTGGATATATCATACTGTGTACATCCAGTTCCTGAATCACAGTAATAGGCCGATTCCATATTTCAGCTGTTGTGAGTAGCACTGCCATAAACATGGAATGGAGATATCCTTTTGACGCACTGAAGTCTTATCTTTTGCACGTATGCCCAGTAATGCAATTGCGGGATTTTGCTCAGTTCCGTTTTGTTAGAGAGACTCCCATACTATTTTCCATAATGGTTGTGCTAATTTGCCTTCCCACAAAACACTAAAAATTTCACCTGTCTTGAAATCCATGCCACCCTTTTTTATTTTTTGTTTTCTTCATGATAGTTATTCTACCTGGAGTGAGATGATAATCTTATTCCGGTTTTCTGTTGATTAATGATGTGGAGAATTTTTCATGTAACTATTGGACATGTGCATGTCTTGTTTTGATATGAGTATGTTAAGTTCTTCAGCCTAGTTTAAAAATTGGTGGTTTTTTTTGGGTTTGTTTGTTGTTGTTGTTGTTGTTTGGGTTTTTTTTTTAGCCCTGGGTTTTTTGAGATAATTGTATAGTCTGGATATTAACTGCTTGTAGAAAACCAGAGGAGAAGTACTGTGTGACATTGTATTGGGGACAGGTTTTGTTACTTACTTTTTGACATAGAAGCACAGGCTAGACTGGCCTGGGTAGGTGGCTCGGGGCTGCTCCCACACCAGGAATCTGAAGCAGTTTCAGTGGCCGCATGGGGGAAGAGGCCCGGGCCCTGCTGCCCACGTGTGACTCTTGGGGGCTCGGCTGCGATGCCACTTTGTCCTGGGAAGCCCTGCTACATGCCGCTGCACTCTGGGAGCTGGGAGCCCAGCAATGCCCTGCAGGTCTAAGGAGCCTGCCCTGGTCCCTGCACTGGCTGCAACCACCGGAGAATGAAACACCCCCAGATAATAGCACCCGTGGGCTCAGACAAGGTGCTCAGTGACCTCCTGGAGTTCAGCATGATGTTCCTGCTGCCCATGGCCAGTGGAAAGGGCTGGCCTGTCTCCTTGGCCAGCGCACAGTTCAGAGGAACAGGTCCGGAGAACTGGCCAGGCTCAGGCTCCTGGGATGCTGGCGACCAGAACACCTCCTCCTTTGACCCCGACAAGAGCTACAGTGAAGGACCCACTTCAGTGAGTCCCACAGCAGCCTTTCTTGGTTCACATTCCTGGGACCTGGACCTGGACTTGGAGGCAAGGGAGGCCAGTGGGCTGGTACCCCACCTTCTGGAGAGACACGGCTTTTGGTGGCTTGACTCAGGTCAGGTTCCTGACTGGCGAGAAGGCCCTCCGCAGCCCCGGGCCATTGTCCTTCCTTCTCAGATATCAAGGGTAGCGCCCAGTACAATGCCTCCTAACCTGGCAACCCTTGGGGCAGAGCCTCAGGTGGCCACTGGGCCCACCGACCAAGAATGTCCAGAAGATTCTCTTTCTTCTTCCTTTCTCATTGTACCCTCCCACCTCCACCTCAGCTTAAGCGATGACTAAGGCAGGGATGCCTGTGTCTACCCATCTGCCAAGACTCCCTGTAGCACCTGCTCTGCAGCCTTCTACTGGCCAGCCTGCACCCTTCCTTGGAGCTCCAGAGCCCCTCAAACAAGGATGGTTTCAGGCCCATGCTGGGCGGGAGCTCATCCGCCTGCCCCTCTGGATGGGCAGTGGTGATGGGTTTTGAGGCCACAGTGCATTTGGTAGCATGTACTAGGAGCATATGGACTACTAGCCACATGGAGCCAAGGTCACCAGTGGCCTCCCAGCCATGTCCACCTTCTCAGCGCCCCCATAGCTGTGTATGGTGGCATCTCCAACAACACACCACCCCTCCCATCAGCGGGGCAGACAGCCTCGTCGACTCCCAAGAGACCATGACCACCAGCAGGTATGGTCTCTTACGTTTATTGATGTGTGAGTGTGTGTGTGTGTGTGATTTTTTAAAATAAGCACTAGTTGATGTTAAAACAGAGAAGGGATTGGTTGTTCTTCTGTCTTAAAAACTATTCAAAAGAGAAAGAAGAGAAACAGGCATGCGCCATTTCAAACAAGAACAGATCCCATAGATGGATCAATCCCAGTATTCCTACAGCTCCTGCAACATGACCAGGCTGAAGCTGGGAACCAAGGCCCTGAAGCACAGTTCAGGTCTCCCAAGTGGGGCAGCTGTGAGATAACTACTGGAGTCAGCATCAGCTGCCTCACTGGAACCATGTTTGTAGGAAGCTGGAATCCCAGAATTAAACCCAGGCACTCTCTTATTGGACCTACATAGGCCTCTTCGTAGCCTCTTAACTGTTTGGCTAACCGCTGCAAAGAGGATGGTTCCCCTCCTCTTTCTCCCCTTAGTGAATGCCTATAAGGAATTAGTTCCTTACGTTTTCGTCCTGTAGTTACTAACTCAGTAATGTGCCAAGTACTTTACTGCTGTATTCTATCATTCTAATAATTTTCAAGATTTCTTTCATAAAAAAGGTTAAAAAGTGGAAAAAAGAATCAGTTAAGGTTTTAAAAATAATTTAATAAAAAAAGAAAAGAGTTACTCCACTGAACATTTGATCAAATATATGATTCCAAGGTGAATGTGGATGCCTTTCTTGTCCTAATGAAATCGAAACAGTTGGGGCTGTCCTTTTTTTTGTACAACTGAGATTTGAGAGGCTGATGCCTGTGTCCTCAAAGTATATTTCAGTTGTCCAATGTAGATATGCAAAGATTTCAGGAAATGATAACCTCAGGGAGTAGTGTGTCCCTGGCAGCAGTTTTGTTTAGTGGTGTTTTAATGAGTGGAAACCATACATGGAAATTGATTGCAGGGAATAACTTATGATTTCCTTGCTTTTAGTAACATACGTATAAAATAATGAAGATTTGATCTATGGTAGCAACTCTACAATCGTATATGTGGGCCTGACCTCTTTGATTTAAGCAGCTGCTTCATAGAGATGCAAGCACCTTCATTGAAGCATTGAAGTTAAAAGTCATGTTAGTATTCTTGTCTGCCACTTCTTAAATATATATCATTTAAAAAAATAAGAAGTATTTATTTGAAAGGCAGAGTTAACAGAGAGGCAGAAGCAGAGAGAGGGAGGTCTTCCATCTGCTGGTTCACTCCCCAGATGGCCACAGTATCTGCGCTGATCTGAAGCTAGGAGCTTCTGCAGGGTCTCCCATATGGGTGCAAGGCCCCAAGGACCCAGGCCATCTTCGACTGCCTTCACAGGCCATAGCAGAGAGCTGGATTGGAAGTGGAGGAGCGGGGACTTGAACTGGTGCCCTTATGGGATGCCAGCACTGTAGGTGGTAGCTTTACCTGCTGTGCCACAGCACCAGCCCCTAAATGTGAATCTTCCTAATTTAAGTATGTTAAGTTTCAGTAAACTATTATTTGCTAATTCTGAGAGAAATACAGTGGTTTTTGTACTTGAGTCCTTTCTTTTGACATTTTAAGTACTGTGATCCTGAATGAATTGTGTTGTTGAATACCAGCTATGTCCTAGTGAAGACAGACAATGAATATACAAGTTGAGGGCTGTTATTAACCTACTTGTTACTCACTATGTTGCCAATTCATCTTGTAATTGGTGTTCTTTTGCATGTGTTTTTGTCTGTCACTACAGCTAAAGAAGTAAACAGGTCAGGGCATGCTTAACAAAAAGACAACAGGCAGATACAAAAGCTATCCAGCATCTTTGGGCACCCATTGAGATCATAAGGAACCAGAAGCAAATTGTCAGCATTGACCGTATTACAAGGTAAGTAAAGCAAAAATATCCTGTAATATTTCTTGTAAGGCTCTCCAAAATGCCTGTCTTTTCTGGTAGCCTACATGTGTTAGAGCTGAAGTCACTTTTTTGTCTTGCAGAAATACACTGTTGTTCAGAAAACAAACACAGCAACACACATAAGTAACCTGTATTTATTCACTTTTTATAAAAATACTATAAATACTATTTATAATTTCTTATTAGCTATCAATTTTTTCTTTTTTTTAGCTTTTATTTAGTAAATATAAATTTCCAAAGCACAGCTTATGGATTACAATGGCTTCCCCCCCCCATAACTCCCCTCCCACCCGCAACCCTCCCATCTCCCGCTCCCTCTCCCATTCCATTCACATCAAGATTCATTTTCAATTCTCTTTATATACAGAGATGAATTTAGTATATATTAAGTAAAGATTTCAACAGTTTGCACCCACACAGAACATTAAGTGTAAAATACTGTTTGAGTACTAGTTAAGCTATCAAGAATTTTTAACACTTGGCAACTTTAACATTTGCGGAGTGTTAAAGAAAAGTGATAGTAATACATGTCTTTGAATATTTCTGATTAAAGAAGTATTTACTCAGTCTTATTTTGTTAGGGGTTGCTTGTTGAATTTTAGCAAATATCAACATTAACATATTTTAATGATCTTTTTTGTTTTTTATCTGTAAATGGGATGAGCTGAGTTATATATAGTTTTTATACATTATATATCGTTATATATATTTTAGGTTTGTTTATTTATTTGAAAGAGTTAGAGAGAGGGAGAGACAGAGATCTTTCATCTGCTAGTTCATTCCCCAAGTGACCCCAGTAGCCAGGGCTGGGCCAGGCTGAAGCCAAGAGCCAGAAGGTTCTTCTGTGTCTCCCACGTTGGTCGCAGGGGCCCAAGCACTTAGGCCTCCCTCTGCTGCTTCCCTGGCCATCAGCAGGGAGCTGAATTGGCACGGGAGTAGATGGGAGCCAGCACACATATGGGATATCGGCATTGAAGCAGCAGCTTAAACTGCTATGACAAAAGGCTGGCCCCATCTACTTTTAGATTTCTAGGTCTTCCTTTAATTCCTGGAATTAAACTTGGTATAGAGTTCGGATATTTGAACATATTAATGTATTAGTATTTATTAATTTATATTTAATAGTAGACCATATTTTAGTACTCCTATGGAAAACTTTTTCGGCAGAGTGGACAGAGAGAGAGAGAGAGAGAGAGAGAGAAAGGTCTTCCTTTTGCCGTTGGTTCACCCTCCAATGGCCGCTGCGGCCGGCAACCTGCAGCCAGCGCACCGCGCTGATCCGATGGCAGAAGCCAGGTGCTTCTCCTGGTCTCCCATGGGGTGCAAGGCCCAAGCACCTGGGCCATCCTCCACTGCCTTCCCTGGCCACAGCAGAGAGCTGGCCTGGAAGAGGGGCAACCGGGACAGAATCCGGCGCCCCAACTGGGACTAGAACCCAGTATGCCACGCCACGAGGTGCAGGATTAGCCTATTGAGCCGCGGCGCCAGCCCCTATTTTTTTCTTTTAAGTTGCTATTCCAGTTTACTCCCCAAATGCTGGCAACGCGTGGGCGTTGTGGGAGAGTGGGGACGCTCAGTTTGTCTGCGGGCAGCAGAGAAGGATACACTGGCGGTAGCCGCGACTTTGGGTAAGTGTCTGGCCGTCAGTGAAGAAATGCAGGTATGTACCATCGGTGACCTTGGGGCTCCCCGGTCCCCCACTCCCCTTGGTGAGAGACACTTCCACTTCCCTGTCTGCTTGACCCCCAGCTCAGCTGTCCCTCCCCTTCCCTGCGGCCAGGTACACTCACCGTTTGTTGACACCCCGTAAGGAGTAAGGAGAGTGGAGTCTGCCCAGCAGTCCCAAGTACACGGCCCGGCGCTCAGTGATCCAGCGGCAAAGCACTGGCCCGCTAAGAAAGTTAGAGAAAACCTGGGCTGGCCGCGGCCTCGTCGGCGTGGGAGTGGCATCCCATGCAGCCTAGGCTTTTGCATTGGTGCCTGTGGGGTGCCTGTGTGCATGAGGCCTTGGCGTTGGTAGTATCCGCAGAACCGGCGGGGAAGCACAGTTCAGTGGCCAGCCACGGAGAGAAGGATGCGGTGGCGACAACTTGGGCAGTGTTGGGCGGTTGGCCAGGAAGAGCAGGTGTGTACCACCAGTGGCGGTGGTGCATGTTGGCCAGCAATGGCTAAGCAGGCAGTGGTGGCAGCCGTGAAGCATCAGGGGCGGGGAAGCAGAAGACTTCGGTGGTGGCTGCCTATCTGGCAGCAGTGGGGAACCAAGGGGCGGCAGTGGCCGCAGGTCTGTGTCCTCCAGCAGGGGCTTCAGTGTTGGTAGCAGAGGCCTTGGAGGCATCAGCGTCAGCCTTGGATGGGGAGTCATGTGCAGGGAATCACAGTTCCGCGGCGGGCAGTGGAGAGGAAGGACGGAGCAGCAGTGGCGACTCCATAGCCTGTGGCCATCTGCGAGGCAGCACAGGTCTGCATCTGCAACCCATAGCACAGTGGCAGTGAGGTTGGCAGTGGGGAAGCATCCGGCGTCCTGGGTGGGGAAGCCTGGCTCAGTGTTCCTGTCGGTGAGGATTGCGGCATTCTGGGAGAGCAGGGGAGCAGAAGTCTTCAGCGGCGGGAACCAGGCCGTGGCGGCAGCTTTGCTCAGTTCCGTGTTGGCCGCAGCGGTGGCAGCTTCAGCGTCTGTGTGGGTAGCGGTGTGGGTGTGGGCATCAGCGTCCTGTGGGGTGTCATGGGCAGGGAAGCACAGTTCGGCGGTGGGCAGCGGAGAAGAAGGATGAGGCAGCAGTGACTCCGCGAAGCATGGGGTGGTCAGCGACAGGGACACATTGAGCAGCCAGGGTTAAGTAGGTGGTGGCAGTGACCCGTGGGACGGTTTTGGTTGTTGGTGGGGAAGCATGGCTCTAAGTCTGCCTTGCTGAAGTGTGGGGCTTCCTAGGCAGGGAGGTGTAAGTCTATGGTGGCGGCAGCAACACAGAGGGCAGCTAGGGAGCACCAGGTGGCGGGGGAGCTGGTGAGAAGAGAGGCAGCGGCGCTGAACTGTAGTTCCTCATGGGCGGCGGCAGCAGCGGTGCCTTGGAAGTGTGAGGCGGTGTAGGCTGGGAAAGGTGAGTCTGCGTTGGTGGAGCATGGGGCATCGTGGGCAGGGACATGCAGTTTGGAGGTGGCATTGACTGTGGCAGTGTGTTGGGTAGTGCAGAGAAGCAGGCAGCAGCAGAGAGGAAGTGGCGAAGAAGCCTCAGACCATGGGCGGGGAAGTGTGGGGGACCTTGGAGCCAGTGGGCCTCTCAGGTTTTCATGGCCTGCACACAGAGATGCTCCCCATACCCCTGCCTTTGCATCATGGCATCCAGAGGAAAGGGAGGGTGAGGAGTCAATATTCTTTGGGTGCTAGTTATCCACGGCCATTGCCTGGCAGTCAGCTTTTCACCTGGGGACAGGCTGCCTGCTAGCAGTGAGTTCCCTGCATCATCTGGGAACCGCCAGCTTCCAGAGTTGATGATCCTGGTCGTGCTGGGTTGAGAGTGTCCAGGTGTTGTCAGTGTGGATGGAGAGCCAGATGGCGGGTGTGCCAGGACCATTCTCTCTTGCCTGGAGGTTGTGGTCCACAGCATTGAGCTGGCTTTGTTATTTGGGTGCTGATGAGACTGTGGCTACAAGTTGTGGTAGGAGTGAACATCCATTTCAAGTTGCAACCGCAGTGTCTGACAGGGCCCTCACTTTTCGTGGAGGGTCTGGGAAGCAGCAGCCAGCACACAGACGATGGGCTGCACCCTGGGAGAGTGGCTGGGCACTCCTGTAATCCTGCTGGGACAAAATGTTGTCTGGTGGTATAGTTTATGTATTTTAATTATTGATTTTTTGTCATTTCCAATAAAAACTCTTACCTTGGTTTTAATAAATTAAAAGGAATAATTACCAGTGCATTCTAGAATATTTTTAAATTGATGGAATAGGCAGATGTATTTGAAATATTCTTGTCTTAGATGATTTACAGTGTGGAGGATTTTCCCTATTGTCACAGAGTTTGAGTTTCTTTTTTATTTTATTTATTTTTTTTTTTTTGACAGGCAGAGTGGACAGTGAGAGAGAGACAGAGAGAAAGGTCTTCCTTTTCCATTGGTTCACCCTCCAATGGCCGCCGTGGCCGGCGCGCTGCGGCCGGCGCACCGCGCTGATCCGATGGCAGGGGCCAGGAGCCAGGTGCTTTTCCTGGTCTCCCATGGGGTGCAGGGCCCAAGCACCTGGGCCATCCTCCACTGCACTCCCTGGCCACAGCAGAGGGCTGGCCTGGAAGAGGGGCAACCGGGACAGAATCTGGCGCCCCGACCGGGACTAGAACCCAGTGTGCCGGCGCCGCTAGGCGGAGGATTAGCCTAGTGAGCCGCGGCGCCGGCCGAGTTTGAGTTTCTTTAAATTTTTTTATGTGACTAATGTGGAGAGAAAATTTAAGATTATCAAGGGGTGTTTTTTGGTTATTACTGATGTCATTTACTATTTATTTCTGTTGACATGAATTGTTACTAAGCAGACATATATTATTAACCAGTGAAAAAGGATTGTTTTTGGCCTGTACTCATATTATGAAATCAGGACTGGACTTCAGTTAGGCATTACAAATGAAGAGATTGGAGAGGAAAACTTGTCATAATTGTTATATTATGCTAAATGAAGGGAAAGGAAGATATGCAAAAAAAATCCAAGGGAGTTTTCCTTTAGTTTTGAAAGATCACCTATTACTAGCTTTAGGCTTTTTAACAGCCTTTGGGTATCATTCGTCAGTGCTAAAAGCTTTCTTGGGGGCACACATTTGGTGTGGGAGTTAAGTCAGTCCTTGGGATGTCTGTGTCTTGTGTTACAGTGCCAGGATTTGAATTCTGGATCCATCACCAGTTCCAGCTTTTCTGGCAGTGTGTGTTCTGGGAGACATCAGGTGATGGCAAAAGTATCTGGGTCCCTGTCACCTACATGAGAGACTGAGTTCCTTGCTCCTAGCTTCATCCTGACCAAGTCCTAGCTGTTTGCAGGCATTTGAGGTGTGAGGGAGTAGATAGGAGGGCTCTCTTTGTCTTTCAAATCACTAAAGTTAACATTTTTCAAAAATGTGATTTTTATATTGAAAATTTTATTTCAGAAGCAGATACTGATACATACCCGCACACACACACACACACACACAATGCAAGAAACAGATATAAAGAGGACTCCCATCTGTTGATTCACTTCCTAATTCCCACAACTACTGGTCCTGAGACTGGCTGAGGTGAGGAGTTGGGAACTCATTCCATGTTTCCCACGCGGGTGATGGGTGCCCAAATACTTGAGCCATAACCATTTCTCTCCAGGTCCATAATACAGGAAGCTAGAGTCAGGAGCCAGAAACAGGTACTTGATTTCTTGAGCTATCACAACTGCCTTATAAGTCCACATTAATAGGAAGCTAGAGTCAGGAGCTGGATGTGGATACTTAACCCAAGTACTTGTAGTGTGGAATGAGGTAACTTTAATTGGCATGTTAACCTAGGTTTCAAAGTTTTTTCTAGTGACATCATGTGTAGTTTTTTTTAAAGATTTTTATTTATTTATTTGACAGGTAGAGTTACAGACAGTGAGAGAGACAGAGAGAAAGTGCTTCCTTCCGTTGGTTCACTCCCCAAATGGCCGTCATGGCCGGAGCTATGCCAATCCGAAGCCAGGAGCCAGGTGCTTCTTCTGGTCTCCCATGCAGGTGCAGGGGTTCAAGCACTTGGGCCATCCTCCACCGCCCTCCCAGGCCACAGCAGAGAGCTGGACTGGAAGAGGAGCAACCAGGACTAGAACCCGGTGCCCATATGGGATGCTGGCGCCGCAGGTGGAGGATTAACCTAGTGCACTGCTGCACGGGCCCCATCATATGTAGTTTATGTACCATACTGTTTATAGTTAATATGTTTCTGTATCTGTTATTTACTTAATGTACCTCATTTTCTTAGTTCTACATTGAGTCTTTGCAATTCTTTTTTGCAAATAGGTAAGCAGTGATGTAGGGAACAAATTAATGTGCATCATTTTTCTTTGTATTTTCTTTAATTTTAATTAGTGTTTCACAGACTCAGTGTGCTTTGTAGACACAGTTGTAAGAACTTAATGATAGTCCCTTCCTCCCTCCACCTTATTTTCTTGCACTGTGTTTCCTTCTCCCTTTTCTTTGTCTTTGGTTTAGTTTTTGAGAGAGCCAATTTTCAAATTAAATTACAATAAAAAGGCTTAATACTTTAACAAATAAGTTTAACAAGTAAAATTAAAATGATACCAGTTTAGTGAGAATATTGACAATGACTGTAAACTGTAGTTGAATACTTATGCAGTAAATTTTAAAGTAATTACAGATCATTAAAACTGTGGTACTTTAAGATTGTTAACTATTGGTTTCACAAAGTTTTACAAAGCTGTATTTGCAGTAATACTGATACACACAACCCTTTCTTCTTTTTTTTTTTCCCTAAATTCATATAAGGGGGAACATGTGGTATTTGTCTTTCTGGGTCCAGCTTATTTCACTCAACATGATGACGTGATGTGCTCCAGTTGTGTCCATTTTGCTGTAAATAGTAGAATTTCATTCATTTTATGGCTGGGTAAGATTCCATTGTTTATGTATACCACATTTTTTTACCCATTCATCTAATGATGGACACCTTGGTGGGTTCCAGATTTTGGCTGTTGTGAACAGTGCTGCTAAAAACATGATGCTGGTATCTCTTGGATAGCTTGTGTTCAAGTATTTTGGTATATACACAGTACTGTGATGTGGAAAATCTATTTCTGATTTTAAAACACATCTCATCTCCACATTGTTTTCCACAATGGCTAAAATAGTTAAGATTTCTCCCAGCAGTGTTTAAGTGTTCTTTTTTCACCATATCCTTGTCAGCATTTGTTACTGTGTGTTTTGGATTTTATCCATTCTGTTATGGGTGAGGAGATACCTCATTGTAGTTCTGATTTCATTTCCCTGAAGTCTAGAGGTGAGCATTTTATTTCATATATTTGTTGTCCATTTGCATTTTCAATCTCCTTTTCAAAAACTTCCTGTAAGCATTGATGTTGTTTTTGACTTTTTAAGTTGTTGATATATTCAAGATATTAATCCTTTGTCAGATAGATGCTTTGCAAATTTTTTTTGCATTCTTTTGGATATCTGACCACTTCTGTTATTTCCTTTGCTTCTGAGTTTGATACAGTCTCATTTACTTAATTTTGTTTTTGTTGCCTGAACTGTGGGGATCCTGTCCATGAAGGTGTTCCCTATACTGATGTCATTGAGTGTTTCCCTTACATTTTCTTTTAGCAACTTCAAAATATCAGGGCTTAAATTAGGTCTTTGATCTTTGTTCAGTTGATTCTTGTCTGTGGTGAGAGATATGGATCTAATTTCATTCTTCTATGTACATGCATCCAGTTTCGACAGCACCATTTTTGAGGATATTATCATTAACTCCGCTGTGTGGTCAGAGCACTTTTGTCATAAGTCAGTTGACTATTTGTATGTGGATTGATTTGGGGACTCTTTCTTCTATTCCACTGAGCTGTTAATTGGTTTTTATGCCAATAACAAGTTGTTTTAATTACTATATCTTTGTAGTATGCTTTGAAATTAGGGATTGTGATGCCTCCAGTTCAGGTTCTCCTGTTCAAGGTCATTTCCGCTCTTTGTGGTCTTTTGTGATTCCATATGAATTTTAAGATTGTCCTAACTCTGTAAAGAATGCCATTGGTATTTTGATAGGGATTCCATTGAGTCTGTAAATTACTCAGGCAGTATATACATTTTAATTGTACTGACTTTTCCAATGCATGAGTAAGGAATATCTTTCCTGTTTTGTATCCCCATGGTTTCTTTCATCAATGTTTGATAGTTTTGGTTGTAGGAATCTTTCACTGCTTTGGTTAAATTTATTCCTAAATATTTGATTTTTTGGTTTCTATTATAAATGGGATTTCTTTCTTGAATTCTCTTTCTGAGAGTTCACTAGGGGCCTCCACTGCTAGCAGCTCCTGTATCCCATTATGGGTGCTGGTTCATGTCCTGGCTGCCCTACTTCTGATCCAGCTCTATGCTAAGGCACTTTGGAAAGCAATGGAAGATGGCCCAACTCCTTGGTCCCTTGCACCCATGTGGGAGGCCCAAATAAAACTCCTGGCTCCTGGTTTTGGCCTTGCCAAGTCCCAGGCCCAGCACCAGCCCCAGCACCAGCCGCAGCCATCTTGAGAGTGAACCAGCTTGTGGAAGATGAATCTCTATCTCTGTCTCCTCTCTTCCTCTTTCCTTTCTCTGAGTAGATCTGGCTTTCAAATAAATTTAAAAAACTCTTTCAAAAAAGCTACTGTTTTTGTATGTTTATTTTGTACATGCAGGTTTACTGCATTGGGTTATTTCAAAGTTCTAGTTCTTGCAGTGATAAATTTTTATTTCCTCCACTTGGTTTATTCTGATGTTAAAGCTATTGATTATATTTTTTATTTCACTGATTGAGGATATAATGTCCAAAATTTCGGATTGGTTCTTCTCAGTGAAATCTAACTTCTTAACTTGTTGAATTCCTCATTTCTTCAGGCTGTCTGTATTCTCTTGCATCCCATTGAGCTTCCTTGTACTTACTACTTTTAATCCTATGTCTGTCATAGATTTCCTTCAGTCATGATCTAAATCTGGAGGATTATTGTGGTTTTTTTTGGAGTTGTTATGCTACTTTGCATGTCTCCTATGTCCTTATGTTTACGTCTGCCCATCTTGTGTATTTGTCGCTTCATCTTTATGGAATAGTTTCCATTGTAAAGGAATGGTTTATCCAGAATATACAGGGTATCACTTGGCTTGTTGCTCTGGTTTGGATCAAGATGAGGCCAGGTATGTATAGTCTCTGAGTAATTTCTTTTTGTCTTAATATCAGCAATGTCTGTAAGTAACACAGTGAATTAGTCCTCTGCAGTTTGTAGGAATAGAAGTGTGGCTTTGAGATGAATAAGGGTTTCCTTGGGTGTGTACCTTTAGTCCACTTGGAGTTCAGTGTCAGTTTTTCTGCCAAATATGATAGCCAGGGCCTTATTCTTGGTGCTGAGAGAGAGAGGTGTGGCCACCTCCTTGTCCTGCTGGCAAGCCAGAGTGATGCCTGGGCTTGGGCACTGATTGCTGTGCCTCTAAGATGGTGTGATGCAGATGGACCCTTCCTCTGATCCTGCTAGAAGAGTCCAACTCTTGCTGTGGCTTATGATACCAACAGTTGTAGTCCTAGGATAGGAAATGTGAACTGGATGTGCTCTAGTCCTACAGGGTAATTAGAAGGTTTACAGGAGATTTTCCTCTGGAGGGTATGAATCCAGAGATTTGGAACACAGGTAGCTTCTTCCCTATGTCCACTGAATAGATCACAGTGGCATAGAGAAAATTAGAATGAATTGTTACAGTCCTCATATTTCAGGGTATATTGGAGTCATTACCCAGATCATCCAGGGAGTGAATTTTCCTGTGGGCTGCTTCAGGTGTTAATGCCCAGAAGCTAAGGTGACTCTCCCTTGCATACATGGAGTGTTTGAGCATAGTTCTGGGCCTAATGCCCAAAAGCTCCCTTGGTTGCAAGATACAGTGGAATGTGTCCTTTGCCCCACACATTGCCCTGACTCTGACTATGATGCTGGGTAGAAGATCAGAGGCATGCTGCTTGATTTTTCACTGTGGAATTTGGCACTCCGTGGGATTGGGGTAGGAAAAGGAAGTGAGGCGGTTCCCCTGTTGTATGCCCGACTGTTGCTCAGATCCCAGTCAGCTCTCCAGGCTGAAGTAAAAGTGAGTGGGTCTTCCCTGCCTCTTGCTCTAACCCTGCCTTTTAAATAAATCTTTTTTAAAGGTAGGGGGCAGCACTGTTGCATAGTGGATAACGCCATTGGCTGCAGTGCCGTCATCCCCTCTGGGTGCCGGTTCGAGTCGCTGCTGCTCCAATTCTGATCCAGCTCTCTGCTGTGGCATGGAAAGCCGTAGGAGATGGCCTGAGTTCTTGGGCCCCTACATCCAGGTGGGAGACCCAGAGGAAGCTCCAGCTTCCAGATTGGCCCATCTCCAGCTGTTTTGGAATCAAGGTAATGCTGGCCTCATTGGCTGAGTTTGGAAGAATTCCTTCCTCTCTGATATTTTAGGAGAGTTGAAGAACTCATGCTAGTTGTTAATTAAAAATTTGGTCAAGGAGTTGGCATCTGGCATGGCAATTAAGACATTGCTTGGGGTGCCTGCATCCTGTATAGGAGTGCCTGAGTTTGACTGCTGCTTCTGGCTTCTGATTCTCACTCCCTGGTAGGCAACAGGTAATGGCTCAACAAGTTGGGTCACTGCCACCCACAGGGGGCACTGATCCAGCCTTGAGCATTTGAGCATGTCGTTGTTTATAACAGTCCGTAATGTCCTTTGTCTTTCTGTGATATCAATGTAATATCTCCTTTTCATTTCTTATTTTTTAAAAAGGACTTATTTATTTATTTGAGAAGCAGACAGTACTCCCTGGGGCTGTGGGCGCTGGGTTGATTGTAGAAAAGCATGGCCAGATGTTGGCATAAAGACAGGAAGAGACTCAGGAAAATGAAGTCTACAGATCAGAAGATGTGAGGTCACTTCCTACACTTCAGCTCCCCAGGGTCAGACAGTGCTCTGAGCTGCCCATGAGGGAGGGTGCCCTGGGCAGATCCATCTGAGTGGGGGCAAGAGCACAGGCTGATGGCAAGCTGGGCAGTGTCAGTGGGGTGCTAAGAGCAGGAAGCTGGGCCCAGCCATCCACACCTCAGGGAGCCAGTCTTTCACTCACCCTGGCACTCCTAATGGAATCTTCCCAGGAACATGGCTGTTGGAGCCAAGGGACCTGCCCTCAACAAACCAGACTCACCTCCCTCCCCATGAAAGGGCCCAAGTACAAATGCCAGGAACCAGAGGGCCGCCCTAAGCTCATCCAAACCAGCTCCAGAAACAACACAGCCCTCACATCAGCCCACCTAGATCGTGGCTCTGACAAATTGGCACCCATCAGTCTTCAGAAAAGTCCACAGTGAACAAGGGCATCGACAGAGGAGAGAACACTACCCTGAGAGACACCTGGGGAGGCCCTACCACCATGCTCACTCCTCCCTGGCTTTGTGCTTTTCCCTGCTCCATTCCCCACATGCTTCCTGGAGTTGCCTTCAAAATAAACTACCTGTCCCAAGTCTGTCTTACATAGGCAGAAGGTGAGAAGAGACAAAATGGCACTCACCTGCTTTACCCTTGTGTGGTAATTCCTTGAGCAGGGGCAAAGCCACTGGATCAACTTCACCACCAGGACAAGACGCAACTCAAATCCACTGCCACCATTGGGAGACTCTAGAATTTCCGTGCCTCATGAAGGCTAGGCGGTAAAGATACCTATGCATCAGATGTACCTCCTGGCATTCCACCTCTGGGCTCAGGCCACAACACGTGTCTCCCTCACTCAAATCCACTCTAAAGCTGGCTCCCTGGCCTGGATGCTTAGCAAAACTAGCACTATGGAGGGGCCACGGCCCACAGAGGCCAATCAGCAGCTGTCAGGAAGGCAGGAAAACAAAGGATCCAGAAAGACACTACACGCTAGGGCCCTGGGATAGCTCAGGTTATATGACCCAGCCAAAAATCCCCGGGTGTCAGCCAGCTCCAGAAACACCTGGCCCAGGGTCACCACCCTCCCCCGCTGCCAGGCTTCCACAGAGACCCCAGGCCTGGCCTGGATGGGCAGCACAGGTTACCCACTGCCCAGCCACTAACTCCCTCTTTGTGAGTCACAGGTAGCTTAGGTTTGGCCACCATGGACCCTTCTGGGTGCAGCTACTGTGTTTCAAGAATACAACAGAAAGAGGCCAGCAGCCTGGCTCTAGGAAGGGTAGGTGAGACCACCCCTCTGCCCTGACACCTGGCAGCTGCTTCCCTCCTGATACCAGTGGAGCCAAAGTTGGGGGGTGGGTTCAGTAGACACAGCCCTGGGCCTGGCTCGCCCTACCCAGCAGAGCCACAGGAAAAGTTCAGGTCCTCTCAAAACTTGGCACAGTCCAGCCATGAGGGAGGGACAGAAAAGAGGGTAAATCTGTACAGGCCCTGCCTCTGCTGCTCCCCAGGCAGACGGGCTCCTTTGGGCTTTCTTTACTTATTTTTTTTTAAAGATTTATGAATTTATTTGACAGGCAGTTACAGAGAGGCAGAGGCAGAGAGGGAGAGGTCTTCCATCTGCTGGTTCACTCCCCAATTGGCCACAACAGCCAGAGCTGTGACCAGGAGCCAGGAGCTTCTTCCAGGTCTCCCCTGTGGGTACAGGGGCCCAGGAACTTGGGCCATCTTCCACTGCTTTCCCAGGCCATAGCAGAGAGCTGGATTGGAAGTGGAGCAGCCGAGATTCGAACTGGTGCCCATATGGGATGCTGGCACTGCAGGCAGCGGGTTTACCTGCTACGCCACAGTGCCAGCCCCTCTGGGCTTTCAAGCCCCTCTTTCCAGGCCCAGGGTACCTGGGCAGTGATATCTGGGGAAGTTGTTTTACTCCCCAGAGCTGAGATACTGTTCCAGCCCTTCTGCTTGAGGGACATCTGGCCGCTCCATTTCCCTCACATGTCTGAGGCACAAGGCAAGCAGAGTCTCTACAGGGCCAAGAGGGCTGGTGGAACTGCAGTTCTTGCTGTCATGGCTGCCACGCCGTGGAGGCCAAAGGGCAGGAGATCTGGCGCTGGAGAGGATCCACAGCCTGGCAGCTTCAGCACCACCGCCTGGGACCCCCACTAGCTCCTATAGTGCGGGCGGGGCAGACTCTGACCACAGCCAGGGCTTAGGGGGAGGCATGACAGATGGGGCGGATGGAGCCCCTGCAGGCCCTCTGGCTCCATCTGCCTCCTTGTCTGCCCCTCCAGAATAAAGCAGCGGGCCTGGGTCTCACTGGGCAGAACCAGGCACGCGCAAGAATCCACCTCTCAAAAGAAGCCATCTGCTGGCTCCCCAGGAGAAGCCCCTTCCCCCAAACATGTGCTGCACCCTTCTAGAATTGGACTGCCTGGAGCAGTGACCTGAGCCCAGAGAGGGAGGCATCTCGGTGCCACAGAAATGCCCCAACTGGGGCTGACGGGGGTTGGGGAGGTGAGGGGCTGTGCCAGAGGGAAGCAATGGCATCTGTGGTGGTCAGCGTCTCCCCTGCTGCCGGCTCACCACTTGTTTACTGGTGGCTGAGCGCGCCAGCCCCAGAAGCCAGTGGAGGGGCCAGCAGCAGGTCGAGGCCGCCCCCTACCTGTCACATCCCCGCAACCATGTGCCTGAGCCCAGGGGAGAGGGGCACGTGTGGCCCATGGGTGAAGCCTCACCAGGGCCCAAGCCACCTGGAGACACAGTCCACTATCTCCTGAGCCCAGGGGAAAGCTGTGGGGCTGCCCTGCTGGGAGGGGGCGGCCGTGCTCCCTGGGGGGCACCCCCCTTCCCATTTCCTGGCCCTCCCTCTGCCTAGTTCTGCTGAGTCCAGGCCGCAGGAGAAAGTGGCAAGCAGCACAGCCCATGGCCCAGAGGACGGGTTCACAGCCAACCAGGAGTGAGTGCAGGGGCCGCCTCAGAGGGGGAGGGGCTTCTTGGCGGAGTCTGGAGGAAGAGGAAGGAATGTCCGGGAGCGGAAGGGGCGGGGCTTAGCCTGGTGCGCATGCACGGCAGTTGTTGTGCGACAGTTATTGTGAGCCGAGAGGTGAGAAACCGCGAAGCTCCCGTGTTACATGGTGGCCAGACTGCCACATTTCTGCTTATTTTGCTGCAGAGGTGGCTGAAAGCCCCTGACAGCCTTCCTTATGGAGAAATTTTTCTCCTGGTCTGTTAGGAAGTTTGAGAGAAAGCCTGCTTGGACTGTTACTGAGTTCGAGAAAAAACACTTGAAGAGGCGGCCGCACTTTGGATACCGCCTGCTTTACTGGGAGCTTGGTGCCATTCACAGAGCTGCCAGCGCGGGCAATGTGGCCGCAGTGGAGAAAATCCTGGGTTGTAGAAGAAGCGGTGTGGATGACGTGGATCACAAGAGCAGGTACTGGAGGGTGGGCAGCAGGGCCCAGTGCAGGAAGCCCTCGCCAGGCTCCCCTGCTGGCTTCCCTGGACACCAGTCCATGTTTATGTACACAAGTCCAGATCCACGTTGTGATACACATGATCAAAAGATAACAAGAAAATTTCCAGAATCTCTCACCCCTGGGTAAAGTCTGAGTAAACCCAATACCCGTTTGATGTCAGTTCACACCTGCGTGTACATGGGATTGTAGAAGGAAACCTTGGCATGAGAGAACTCATGTTTACCAAAAAGTGAGCTTTCAGTTTTATCAGTCTTACATGTGCCAAACAAAAATATCAAAGTTTAAAAATTTTGAGTTACACATTCTACTTGTCATTTACTGCTCTGCTAACACTCATTTGTAATGTAGGAAGTAATGAGGTGCTGCTTTAAATGTAAACATGTGCTGTTTTTAGAAATTAATCAGGTTTCTGACAGTTGAAAGGGCAAATGAATTGGAAATCCAAAAACATGAAAAAAAATTTAGAACTTGATACTGGTTACATTTAATATTCATAAGAAAACAAAGATTACTTACACATGAAATACTTCTTAAAGGAGGAAAACTAGATTTTTATAACACAAAGCTAAATTTCTGGTAGAATTAAAAGTTGTAAATAAACAATGTGAGAAAAATTTCAGAACAAAACACAAATGTGGAGCAATAAATTTTTTAGTGGCCAAAGACTTAAGACTGAAGTCAAAAGCAAACATTCTGGGGTGAACAGTTCAGCACAGTGGGTGAAGTCACTGCTTTTGGATGCTGGTGTCTC